TAGACATTTAAATGTGGCATTGGATGTTGTACAAGGGCTTATTGCACCCATAAGTGGCACTGAAAGAAATATAACTATGGACAATTTGAACATGAGCATTCCTTTGACCAATGAATTATTGAAAAAGCACAAATTGACGTGTTTTGGGACACTTCGAAAAGATAAGAGTAAAATTCCAGAAGAATTTCTGCCAAATAAAGCAGGCTTCTGTACTCTTTGCATTTTGTGTTTAGAGGTAAAGAATTAACTCTTACTTCATATGTTCCAAAAAAGAGTAAATCGGTTCTTGTTCTATCATCCATGCATGAGGATAATCAAATCGATCTATTGTCTAAAGAGCAGCTCAAGCTCGAAATGATAACTTTTTTGCAACTCTACAAAAGGTGATCTTTATACTGTTGATGAGTTATGTGGAACAGTCTGTTTCAAGAAAATGCCGCCGCTGGCCTCTAACGGTATTTCTCGAACTAATGAACATGTAGGTAAATGCTTTACTATTCATCGATCAAAGACCGAGTACATAACCGAAGAGCTAAAGATTTTAGCAAGAGCTTGTAAAAAGATGTTAAAAAGGGGCGCCAATCTAAAAAAAAAAAAAAACTCAAAATGGAGGGTTGGCAGGAATAGAAGATGCAGCAGACCTTCACCCTAAGAAATTGTTTGTAAAAATATGTTGTCACACTATGTGAGGATTATTCAAAACGAGATTATTTGAATAATAAACTCAGATAGGAAGGGGGCGGCTATGTGTTATTTATATTTTGTAATATTCGTATTTAGAATCTATTCTTTGATATGGATAATTGTATGACGTTATATTGAGTTTTAAGGGAAAAAGCTAGTAAGAATGCAGTCTTTTCATATTCCTCTAGTGCTTTATCAAACCACTCTTTATAATAAACACTTATGTTTAAAAAATATGTACGTATGAAAACTGATTTTTCTAATATAAGAAATCATATATGTATCTTTATATAAGTTAATTTTGCATAATTTCGATGGGCTGATCTTTAGAAATGGTAATTGGTAGTTTGGCGACATTTGGAGGGCGATAAAGGTTACTACCGGGACTTTGGTATAATGTGCCAGTACTCAGTTCCGATTACGCATTATTTTGTGTGAGGGAATGAGAGATCATGGGATATGTCATGTGATATTAATGGACGAATTACGGTTCTTTAATTGGAAAAGGGGGGAATTTGGAAAATATCTGTGGCTGTATATTATTTTGTATAAGCTTCATTGTGTGTTGTGTGAAGTAGGGTTGAATAATTTTGGGATTGTATGGCGCTGTCTAAAAGGAATTCTAGATTTTTAAGGCGTTTATGTGATAATTCAAAAGAATTGGTTGAATGGTGCATGAGTGTAGGTTTAATTTGGTATACGTTTTAGTTGAAGTAAACGTGCATGGAAATAATTTAAATATTTGACACTAAGTATTTGTAATGCTTGCGGCATGAATTCGTTGGTGACGTTTATAATATAATAGATGATTTTTGAGGTAAAAGTTTGGATATTTTATTTATTTATGTGTGGAAATGTCAGATTTGGAAAGGGTATAGAACTTTTCGCGATCAGGTAATTTCATATATGTTCTTTTTTACCGGGTTTAAAGATTCAGAAAATTGTCATGTATTCTCGTGAAATTTTCCTAATTTATGAGAAAAAACAAGCAGTGTACATAGATATAGTGAAGAGGTGTGCGCAATGCCATTTTTGTGTAATTCTGGATGTTTTTTCAAGTAAAAATAAGTCGACGTGTACATGGTTTATGTGTATGTGTATTTTGAAAATAGCGTAAGGGTATGGTATTGTGCACTTTTCCCAATTTTGCAGTGAATATTTGTCATGATTAAGCAGTTTTGTTAGATAAAATTTCTAGCATAAGTGTAATTCGGTAGTAGATTGTTGGAAGTTTTAGTAGATAAAAGAAAAAGAAAATGTCTTTACTTCGTGAAGACAAATGGCGGCGGGGGAAAAAAAATAGAGGGTTGCTGTAGGAGAGTTGGTCGCCAAATTTTCGCCAAAAAATCGCCAAGTTACCATAATCTAAAGATCAACCATTTCAATTTTTATGGCTTACTTTAGGTAACCAGTATGGAAATGTTTGTATAACTTAAAGTAAGATTATCTCGAATTATAACTGGAAAAAACGTTTAACAGAATTCAGAAAGCTATTAGTCATTTATACATTCATTTAAAACAAAGAAAATGCATTTATTTATACGTTGAGGGGTTGAACTCTGAAAAGCAAACACTGGAGTAAAATTTGTCCCGCGCGTGTACTAAGGTAGCGCACTGATGCGCGTGTGCTGAAGGGTTAAAAATTGCACATACTTGGTATCCACGTACACATCGACCTACTTTTACTTAAAAAAACATCTCAGAATTGCACAAAAATGGCACTGCGCACTTCCTTTATCCATGTACACACTGACCTATTTTCACTTAAAAAGTTAGAGAAAATTGACAAAAATCCAATTCTTCTTACTCTTGTAAAAAGCGGCAAACGTCAATCAAATCAGTGGGAGATTCTGCACTTTAACCAAATTTTTAAATATTATTAGTAGCTGTCATTTCAAAACAAATCTTTTGATTTTTTTTCCAGATGTTATTTATCCCATGTTTAGGTCTTTTCCTTTGACATTTTATATTTTACTTTCAAGACTTTGTGCCACAAAGAACATCTATCATTATTATTTGCCAAAGTTGTCTCTAGACCTAACACATCTTGTATCTTACACAAATTAACCCAATGTTAGTAACCCTTTTTTTCAGCACAATTTTAATATTATATTCCTTTACTTATATTTATGCTTTATTCCAAAGTTAATTGATACATACTAATGTTTGTTCTCAGTTTTAATATAACTTTTTATTAGTTTTACATTTTTTAATTTAAGATCTGAAAATATGACTTGAAAACATGCTCAGTATAAACTTTATAATAACAGTATACAACTTTATACAACAATACAACTTTACATAACAATAATTAATTAATAATTAATTAACTAACTATTAATTTGTTTAAACCCAAATACAATACACCTACTTTATGTTATCTCAAAGCTAAATACATTAACAGTCTCATAAAATGTCTGTTCTAAGTTCTTTAATCCGTATAATTTTGTAAAAATCACACAACAAATTGCTATAAAATGAATTGTAAAGAAAGTTTCACACAAAATTCTGCTAAATTATCAAAACACCTTTCTCTTGACATTAATTAAATTCATAAATATAAAAATTAGGCAAGAAAGTCTTGCACTGCTCATTGTATTTCAATAATTCCTTCTAGTCAATTTCACATGCTCCATTTTACCTCTGCAGGACATGTAGCTTAACATATTTTTTTCAGATACCAGTAATCTACCAACAGTTCTTACAAGCTTCAACTAAATAACCTATCATAAAACAAAGGTAAAGGAGGATTTGTATTATTTTTTTTAATCTAGCAAGTATAATTCATTATTAATCATACCATTATGGTAAGCTTAGTATACAGATCTTCTACTGTTAGCCAATGCTTAAATTGCGCGGAGCCCACCGGAGCCCGGCTCCGGTGCTTCTCAATTTTTAAGATAAATTACAATTTTAGATGGAGCGCACCGGAGCCCTAAATAAGATGAGCTCCGGTACTTCTTTTTATAAAACTGAATCACAATTTAAAGGGAACAAAATTACTAAATTTTGTTCCCTTTAAATTGCTATTGTTAAACTAATGTTTTAGTTTAACAATAAGCAGACCTTGCAATACTCTATTTCCCTAGAAATACGAACTCATGTGAAAATAGACGTTCAAGTAAAGTCCCCTCACTGGCATGTGGAAACCTTTCCCTCTAAGAAAAGCAATAAATTTGGGGGAGTTTGTTTAGGAGCACCTAAATTTCTCGCCATGCCATTGTATCTGGTGTATTGTTATCGATGCTTACAGTTAGTTATCCTCGCAGACAGTGACAGCGAGTACAATAAGAGGGAAATACTGAGATAAACTGCTCAAGCACATCCTATACATTGTCTTCCTACAGTATCCACTAATGGGGGGGGAGGGTAACCAGCAACTTTACATTTAGGAGTCTGATTTAAGACTCGATTTAACCCCGACACCCATCTGCTTGATGGCTACAATTATATCAACAGAGAGCCGCGGTCAAAGAAAACATTCTCTCACCAAGATTCCCCTCATTTTTTATTTCCACCCACTCATACCCTCATTCTGGTTTGCCTTGAAATTTTCATCAGCTATACTTTAAGTATATTTAATTTTTGTGATGATAAAAGAACTTCCCCCCCCCCTACGATCAGAACTTAAATTGGGCCGGAACCCACCATATTTCTGTTCCGATGCTTCTTAGTTTTTGTAAATAAATATAATTCTAGCCAGAATGGCACCTGCTGCCCTTCTTTTATGTAGTTAAAAACAATTTCAGTAGAAACTTTATTCCAAAATTTTTTAACAATAAAATTATAATTAAAAATTCGCGTATTAAATATCAATTAATCTCTTTATATTTTAGTTAATTTTAATTAATTACTTCATCTTAATTATTCAATAAATAATAATATAATAATTATCAATTAAATTATAAATAATTATATAATAATTATTGATTAAATACCAATTTATAAACATTAATAAAATAGCTATTATTAATTTGGTAATAATTAACTATTTAAATTTTAAAAAATTTTAAGTTTAATAGTAATTTTATTTATTTATTTACTCTTGTTCCTCTCTGCTGACGGTCTTCCATAGGGCTCCGGCACTTCTAATCTTAGAAATTAAGCCCTGCTGTTAGCTGTATATTTATTAAACTGTAAGTTACTTTTCAGTAATTTTAATGTCTTATATATATTTCTAAAATCAAATAACATATTTACAGGGTGTAATGTTCACGGTCATTATTTTGTTCAAAATCGGCTTTTATTAATGCTTAATCACTAGGTATTTTATTAATCAGGTATCTGAACTATAAATTCAAAATAAACAATCTTACTTTCCAGCCGTCACCAGCTTCTCGATAATATGGAAAATTTGAACATATCCAATTATAAATTTCATTTAAAGTCATTTTTTTGGAGGGTGAACTATTAATAGCGTAAGATATTAAAGTCGCATAGCTATAAGGAGGTTTTCCATCTTTCTGACGGCAGTTTCTGCTACTTTCACACGACACAACACTTCCATCAGGTGTATCTGAACCATTCAGAGACCCTCTAACATTGAGTCTAGGTAACCAGTCCATAGATGTCAAACTTCTGTCCAAATCACCCATGATATGAGGTAGAAATTTTAGTGTAAAGCTGCATTTTGAACTGAGTTTATTTTTGCTTTATAGCTTCGGTTAATACCGTTTAATATGTGAGCGGTAAACAGGACACTAACGCAACTGAAAGAGTTCATTGCGCAACTACAAATACATAACAACTTTCACGCCATGATAATTTTTCTGCACATCGAAAATATTATTTAGGTATAGGAGTTGTACGTTGCTGCTCATAATATTATAAATAATTATCAAGCTCAAGAACACTGAAGTGAAAATACTACAGAAAATGAAAAAATATCAAAAAACATTTTTTTTTTCAGTTTAGCTTCAGTTCTTTGATAGATACGTTTGTTTATAATCTATTATAAAAATAATAACTGTTTCTAATGCTTCTAATAAAACTGACGCTATATCACAAATGTATTTAAATTTAAAATAATAATACATATTTTTTTCATAGCTTATTATATTTAATTACATATGTGACAAGGGGTAGCTCATGAGCCACATGAAAGTCAGTCATAGGTGAAAAGGTGTAATTCTGAGATGAGACAGAATTTGGTAATTTCAATAAAAAATTAGTTTATACGCAATTTGTAAAAAATGTCAAATAACGAATTACGTGTAGTTTTCTAATAAGTTTTTATGAAAATAAGCAGATTATTCTACCTTTAGAGATTTTGTTATTTTTACCACTTTTTATTGATGGCAACAGTCATTCATGAAAAATTCATCTGTAATCTGAAAAGAAATAGCTATTTCAGACTTTTATAAATGTTCATACATGTGATTTTGTGTATACCATTGCCCAGGACATTTGTCTTTATTATATGAAGAATATATTGTAGGTCATCGGTCTTGCGCCATGGCTCCCTGCGTATTGCGTAGCTGCATTAGTGTGGCCCAGGCAATCAGCTGGTCGAAGTCAGTATTGTTGAAAGGGATCATGACTGCTTGCCGGTCACCTCCGAATTTTCGAAGGTGTCATTCATATGGTGTTCCAAAATTGAGTCCGCAAGAGGTAGTATTAATGTTATTCGTTACAAGAATATATGTCAAATGCATTGCAAAAATATAAATAATAAGTATGTATAGTATTTCTTAAATGTCAATTATTTGCCGGTAATTTTTAATATATTGTTTTTCCACAATATTCTATTGCACTGAATTGCATTTTGCATAGATTTCAAAGCTGAGTTGATAAACATCATATATTATTTACTTCTTTATCATATTTAAAAAAAAAAAAAAGTGAAGAAGTAATTTAATATACAACAAGCTCATACAGTTGCAGAACTGTTGTGAGACTCAGTTCTATAATAGAAGCATGTAAAATGATTGTTATGCTCTTTAAGAATAACATGCAGAGGTAATTTATTAAATGCACTATGTTTTTGTTTGTTTATACTAAAAAATACAACAATGGATATAGTATACTCCTTAGCAAGGTATTTAAATCTCATCCGGAGCATGATCTTGATTTCTTGATCTTCTTTATCCCTAAAAGACGCATTATTATGTAATTGGGATTGTCGTTCATTCTTCATTTTTTAAAGAAAATGAAGAAATTCCATGAGTAGTAGTGTTGTTGTAAGCAAACATAAAACAATAATGGTGAAAAAAATTTGCTTTATGTTAAACTTTGAAAATTATGATTACTTTGCACTGTGTTAAACTTATGGAGTACTTATCTCGAGAACTTTTTCTAAGGTATTATTTTGTAAAGGTATACCAATAAAAAGAATTTTAATGCAGACATGCTCATGTACAGTAATACAAGCTGTTCATCCTTGAAAACATGATTGTGTTGCAACATATATAAATAATTTAATTTTTTATATGTGTTCACTTATTTCATCCTTTTAAAATATTTTTCGTTTCATATAATTATGGTTAATTTTCATTGTACCTTTATTTTCACATCTTATTTTTTAAGTTTACATTTATTTTATGGTTTTAAATCTAAAGTAAGTTTTTCCCCTAGGCTTCCAAAAAAGTAATTAAATACGAGCAGGCAATGGTATTTTGTAAAAGTACAAAATATAATTTAAGAATTGTATTCATTAAAAATTATTTTAATCAAAAAATGCAATTTTTCTTCAATTGTTGGAAATAGTCTCAATTATTGAAATTTGATGGGTACTTAAAAATTATCTCATGTTGGACCTGTTGCCTGGCAATTTTATGCCAGTAGTTGACATAAAATCTTGGCAAGCATAAATGCATAAAACTAAAGATTTTCAACTATGTTCCTGGTTTAATTTTTCATTTGAAAGTTATTTGATTCTAATTTATATTTGTTTGTTATCATTTAGTTGCAGAATATAAAATTTGAATTTGAGATTTGTTATCAGACATAGAATAATTCTATGTATTATTGTTAACAACAGTATAGTGCAATTGTGCACAGGACAAGCTATGTGAAAAAATTCATAATGTAGTTTTGTATCTGAAACCAAAAGATGGTAGTGCAGTATTTCTAATTGCAGAAATGTTTGCTAGGATTATATTTATTATTAATTTTCCTCCTTGAAATTAAATGTAATTGTGATTTTGGCCATCATTCAAATTTTTCATCTGGTACCAAAATCTAATCACCCATCATTTCGCAGGCAGCAGTCAATGTAATGATCATTCATGTCATTATCACTAAATCATAAATTAATATTTAATGAATTTAAAAAAATAGACTTTTTGTTTTGGTAATTGTTTGAAAATTCGGCTAATCTTTGGAATATGGTAACCGGTAGTTTGGCAACATTTTGGTAATCCGATAAAGATTACTAGCTAGGACTTTAGCAATAATCTGAGAAGTACACTGTTCGAATCGCAGATTATTTTGTCTTGGAGAAATGAGAGAGATCATGAGACATGTAATGTGACATTTTCCTGAAAATTCCGATCGTGATTTTAGCTAATAAGCACTTAGAAACAATTTCGCTGCTAAAGTGCAGAATCACCCACTTATTTGTTTGGCATTTTTATAAGAGTAAGAAGAATTGGATTTTTTGTCAATTTTTTTTAAGTGAAAATAGGTCGATGTGTACATGGATAACACGTATGTGCAATTCTTAAAAACGCGGCAAGCAGTGGGCAATTCTGCACTTTCTCCCAATTTCGCACCTAATCTTCGTCATGATTAAGCACTTTTGTTCCAGAAAAGTTCTAGTATAAGCTAGCAGATTGTTGGAAAAAATGGAGTTAAAAAAAAAAAAAAAACATAATTTTACTTTGTAAAAACAAAATGGCGTCCAGAAAAAAAAAATAGCAGGTTGCTGTAGCAGGGTTGGTCGCCAAAATTCGCCAAGTTACCATAATCCAAAGATTCACTTAAAATTCTTATGTATGCATGTATTACTTGAATATTCCGAATTCTGTCAAATTTTTAATACCTTTTAACCCTTTCGACCCAACTTTTGCATGATTAAAATTTAACTATGGAAAGTAGTTTAATTTAATGTTGACATACTAAAAGAAGTGTAATATGAGTTCAAAGTCTTTAACTTTTCCCATTTTTTGGAAATCTCCTGGGACAATATGTCCCAATCATATTGTCAACTGGAACTATTTGTCCCAATCGTCTACAATATTACCCTTTCTTAGAAAACAAAACTAAAATTTACCATAACATATAATGTGAATATTACAAAATGTAAACTCTGTCACATGCAGTACTTCATATATAACAAAAATTTTCATATATGTTTCAAAAACACAGACAGAATATATCGGCATGTAGTAATTTGATCACTGGGGGGAAATATTAACCCACTGATAAATACGACTAGAACAGTATATCCCACAAAAAGAATTTATTCAAAATTTCTTAAATCTGACATTAAAAATGTTAAATTATTAATTACTACTTAATAAGAACTATTTCATATTAAGTATGCCTTAAATATAATTAAAAATAATAAATTATGTAAAATTAAAAATATAGACAAATCCGGTGTGCTCAAAAACATAGGTGTGCCATCTGCAATCTAAACATGCAGCTAGGTTTCTTTAGTCATATATACAGTGTTGTTATCTTATTTTTAACAAAAGGGAAAGAAAACTTGTTCATACGAGTTTAAATATATGTTATCATAAGAAAGACACTTCTGAAATCAGTGTTGGCCTGTTTAACATGTCAACTACTTTTGCTCCACCTCTCATACTCCCTTATTCCAAGTTCTTCCATTAGCCAGAATTATTGTGCATTTTGCATAACGTGTTCTGACTGTGATCAGTTTGGTACCTAAGCTGGCACTTATTGTGTTTTAATGTATGACTATGGGTTCAGAGGACAGCATAAAAGGTGCATGGAGAGAGCGTGACTAGTTGTCATGTGTGCAGCAAAGAATGTCCGATTGGTCGAGATGTATCCAAAGTGGAAATTGAAAATATCAAAAAACATGGACACAAAATATCAAATGAATAAATAGATAAAAATGAACAATAGCAGGTCATCAGAACTATGTACAAATGTCCATCATTTAGTAGCCAGTGGAGCTAAGCAGTAAAGTCTTAAATTTGGCAGAGTTAAGGTAACGTGATAGGGTCACCCACCAAATGCTTTTTGAGAATTGCATTTGTAGACAGTCATCGTAGTAATTAAAAATGTACAAAAGCAAAGCAGTTCATTAAAACATGATGCAGTTTAATGCCAGTCGAGTAGTAAAATATATGCATAGCACAGATGTTCTATGTTCCACTTTAATGCCGCGATCAGCACGTAAAATTACGTGCTGTGTTCTGACAGTCATAATGTAGTTGCCACGAGGAGCGCTGAAAGTACAGAAATGCGTGAGCTGGGTGGTGCAGGATAGCTAAAGTGTAGAACGAGGTGTGACCAACGTCACGTGAGCACGAGATGACATCTGAACGGTGCAGCTCATTATGTTGGAAATACGATAAAATACAAAATACAAGAGAGAATATAATATTATGTGCAAAATAATAAAACATAAAGTTCTTGATTAGATAATCACTATTTACATATGTACAAAGTCTCAGGAAAGCATTATAAGCTGGAGAAATAAGTAGTAAGTCATAAGGCACAGGTCACGTGGGAGGCCACACCTTCCCAAGTCCTAGCTCTGGTGAATGCTGCTTCATTTTTTAAGTTAGAATTTGTGTAGTCAGACTTTGAAAATAATAAGCAACTATTTAAGTTGGAAAGTTCTGGTTGCTGTCTAGCATGAAAGCAGCGAAGAGAGGGAGATGTCTATCTTCATCCAATGTTTCATACTGAAACAAATTAAATTTGTCTAGATGCTCACAGTCCTTAGCTTTCCTGGAGAAATTCTTATTAGTTTTACGAAGGAAATTGTCCGTAGTCTCAATTTGAGGACCTTGTGTAAAACTTCGTTGCGTACAAAGTAATGTACGTTGGTTATGAGTCTTAGACAGATTCAAAAGTATATATATATACACAGACAATTCAGTTCTAAGATGTCACATGATGTGAGGAACCAGTAAGAAGCTGCATGAGAGTTAATGTCATAATTAGCTCATTTAAGGTAAATGAAGTTGAAAAGTTAGACAAAATATGTTTGGAAACTCTAACAAATTGCACAGGGAAATAAATATATACAAACACTGTGCATATAAAATAATAGATACTTTGAAGTTCAAAATCAAAGTCCTCCAAGTTTTGGGTCACTTGTCCATTGCAAGGCTGATTAATTAATTAATAGCAGTCATTCATGGGTTACAGTTAATAAATGTTACAGGAACACAGGCACAAAGAAAGAAGTAATCAGAAGATAAATATGTGCAATTTCACAGTGCAAAGTTCTATAGATAGTCTCACTATAGCACAAAATAAATTCCTAGGTCACGTGAGGTGAGTGACCAGTGAGTAGCTGCATGACTTTGAGACATCTGTGGCAGTCCATTATAGTGATATAAATTTAAGTAATACATCAAAATGAATGCAGAAAACACAGAAATAATGAAGAGTTGAAAAGGTACTGTTCTGTTATTAGGACCGGTTCAGAAATGTATATATGTAAGTATAAGTGTATGTGTTCA